TCCAAAAATAATATTATATACAGAGTGTTCCATTTGAAAAATCAAAGTTGCTACTGCTTTCTAATAGAAGCGGCAACACCGCATTGTCGAAAATATTTTAGTTGGCTAGAGAATGTCCGAATATGCCCTCCATTAAATTTTCAAAGTGATTTGTTGTCTGGTTCACCAGAAACGTCTAATGTGCCATCCACCGTGAATCAGCCTGTATAGTTTGAAAAAATTGAGAAACGCACTTTCAAAGCATACGAAACTGAAAAATTAAAAATAAATATAGTTCAAAAACTAAAAAACACGCAAATGAGCTTAAAACAATAACGAACGAAAAATACTCATATTATTGTGAAAAAAGCGTGGGCGCTTTGTGCCATATTTTTTGTATATCAAGCGCCCGTCGCTTCTTTCACAATAATACTAGTATTTTTCGTTCGTTATTGTTCTAAGCTCATTAAAAAAAATATGTTTAACTTTTCAGTTCGATTTTTTTTGTTTTTAACTATATTTATCAGAACGAACACATTCCGTATCAGTTATTCGGTATAGAAAATCACCCAGTGCGAATACTCCACCACATTTCGTCTTTGAATTGAAAGGGGTATATTTTCAGGAAAGAATATTTTTTTGGGATCTTGTGGAATGTCTCACCTGTGATTTTGGCTCTGATGCCACATTGGATATTTAAAACTACACAAACAAGCTGCTCACATTTCAGATGGCGAAAGTGGAGAGACAAATTTCTTCAAATGATAGAAGAAGACCTTCCAAAATCATTTTTAAATATACTCGATACAAAATCGAATGATTTTATTAAAAATTAATCTCTTCTGAAAATACACCCAATTCAAGTTGAACAAGATTCCCATGACTGGGATTCAATCAAACGAGCGAATAAATGTCATTACGTACTCTCAGAGTAAATTTAACATAATCGTGACATGGAATCGTAATTTTATGAATGAATTGAGTGCATCATTTCGTAGTATTATTCAGATCGGTGCTGAAGATGCAATAAGGCAAGTGTCTTACTCCAAAACTTTAAGAAACTCCTGATATAAAAAAATACTATTCTATCAGATAGTGCCATGGATGTTAAACTTAGCATTTTCTTTTCCTAGAAAACTTCATCTACAACCCATTGCCGACATATACAATTCATTTTTGTTTCAATCATCAATGCATAATCGGATATGAATTTCAGACACTTCTCACCTTGGATGATGATCAGTACAATATTTTGAATTATCACCACAATCTGAATTAGTATGATACTGCCGAACACTTTCGAAGAGTACTATAATACAATAATTACAAAAGTTCACTGAGTAGAGTACTTTCCATCAATATTTTCAAATTCATCCTCCTCATCATTTTTTGCATCTGTTCTACAAGGAAGTCTGCTTCTGTCTGTCGAAGTTAACTTTTTGTCAGCCGACCATCATACACATCGCCACCTTGATGACTGATTCGTTTTCACCATACATCTGACTGATGCCTTTCCTGGCATCAGGTCACCTTGAATCAGACGGGTCTCCACCGGGGTCGCTCTCCTCTCCCAAAGAGTTTCCATGAACTTGAATATTATAGCTAGGTGATCTGAATTGCCTTCCCTGTAACTGGGATCCTTCTGAGCCTCTTCTGGAATCTTTTTGTTTCCTGGTGCAGAAACACTTACAGATGATTCTCTTGAAGGCAAACCTGAGAATAGTGATTCATTTATATAATAAACTTTCAGGACAATGAAATACGCTTTTTTGAATAAATGTGGAATTCAAGCCAACCTATCTCAAAAACTCACGTAAGCCATTAAAATAATTACTTCGGTTTTTGACATGAAGTGATAATAAAAATATTACCGGAAAACGTTTTGACTCAATTTTTGCTTTGGGTGGAATTGAAATATTAACATATTTTATATTAACTAATATGAATGAAAAAGGAATCACACGTTGAAAGTTACTATCATTACTTTCTCTCACTTCACCCCATTCTTTGAAAAACTTTTGGGAGTTCATGTGATAGATTAGGAATGAAAAATAGAAAAGACTTGTAAGAATAAAAAGAACCAGAGAGCGTGAAGTCTGAAATTCTCATGAACGGAAGTGACATTTGAACTTTGATTAACTGGGCTAGGTAGCAGTGTTCCAATGGAGAGATTAACTCCAAACGTTTCGCCTATAACCACGACAAGCATCTTCAGCGGTGGTTGGCACCAATGCGTTGCAACCTTTTCGTTGGTAGACAGACTCATTGATGAGACCATATGTATCTGTTGTTGATATTTACACGGAGAGAGAGAGAGAGAGTGGACTCTCTTCATTAACTCAATATGAATACCCTGTATTGACGATTTTCTTGATTTTTTCTTTCCTTTTATCTATCAATAGTTCTGCAACCCACTGCTGAAGATACCCATCGTAGTTATGGATGAAACGTGGACGTTGGAAGCAGATGGTCCTGAGGAAGCAGATGTCTGTCAACTTCAGCAAAACTGTGATAATTCCCTTCACCAGGAGAAAATTGGACGATCTAACGCCACTTTCCCTCAATGGTGAGGTCATTCCATTCGGAACAGAGCGGAGGTGAAATATCTTGGCATTGTCCTTGACAAAAAACTTACCCGGAACGCTCACTTGGAAAAAGTTTTACACAGAGCCAGACTGTTCGTATCCACATGTCGAACGATTTGTAGTAGAATTTGCGAGTTCAGGTCCCAAACAAATCCATGGGATTTATGCTACAATTATCGGACCAAAGATCACATTTGCACCAAATGCTTGGTGGCCGAAGGCTTTACAGAAAACGACCCAGGCGAAGCTCTCTGGCTTACAGAGGCAGGATTGTCTGGCCATCAGTGGTGTCATCAGTACCACACCGTCAGTGGTCATGCAGATCCTTCCAGATCTACCCCCTCTCCATATTTTTTTGGAAAGAGAGGCTATAGATGGACTGCATATAGAATTGTGCACATTGTCAATTGCATCAATCAATGTAATGCAGAGTGCAACAGACTGTTGGTTGACACTGGAAGTCACTGGATTATGGAAATGACCTCATACTTTATGTCTGCCAACTGTCAACTACGAATTGCCAAGACTAAACTCACGCTATTGAATTGTGTGTGGAGAGATTGGAAGAATTCAACCTCATACACAAGTCAATAGAAATATTTTTGGATAGTCAAGTTCCGTTGAAAGCTTTTGGATCCTACCAAGCAACGTCTGAATTCGTAGCAAATTGCCAAAAACTACTCTCCCCCATAGAAAGACTTAACAGATTGTCTCTGGTCTGGATTCCTGGCCATACTGGCCTGGAAGGCAATGAGGCTGTTGATTCCCTTGCAAAGGAGGGTGCTGCAAACAGCTTCATCAGACCAGAACCTGTCATTGGCATCGCTTTATGCTTCGCCAAACAAAGATTGAACACCTGGATGTTGAGAAAATTTATGGACTTCTGGTAGAATCTTCCAGGGTTGGCTCAATCAAAGGCGTTTATTCACCCTTCGAAGCTTGATACCAACCAGTTGTTGGACTACAATAGGGACAAACTACGATGTCTAACGCTACGATGTCTAACAGGCCTTCTTACAGGTCACTGTCATTTTAATCATCATATGCAGAGATTCGGACTGTCGCAAGACAATGTGTGTCACGTCTGTTTGGAAAATGATGAAACAGCAGAGCACATACTTTGTGCCTGCCCCGCTGGGGACCGAATCTCATTTTTAGAGTTCGAGAGCCGTACTCTTATCATCTAACCTGAAAGATCACTCACCATACAAACTGATCGGCTTCGTTGAGAAGCCGAGTTCATTTGGTCGAGTGTGAATATGTGTGAGCCACAATAAACCCTTTTTATTATGAACACACAACTTACCTGAAATCTTTGGAGAAAAGTGCGTATATTAAAGGATTTATGGCACTGTTACAATAACCAAGCCAAAAGAGGATGGAGAACACCAGCGGATGGATGCAATTTGGACAGAATGCTCTCACCAGGTACATGGTAAAAAATGGAAGCCAACAGAATATGAAACCACCTACTATAATTCCCAAAGTTTTGGCAGCTTTGGTTTCCATTTTAAATCGTTTGACCTGAAAATTAAAATTGGTTGATGTAACATCTTTCAGAAAAATATATATAAATCATATTTGGGAAAAATAGTTATACATTTTCAAGAATTTATCGTTAACACTAATCATCATCTATCTGATTTTCTGTATTCTGACATTTGTTAACCATTTGAATCATCAGAAAATCAAAAAAATCGAAAGAAAAATCTGGCACAGATTATAATGTCGTCCTATTAACCTCGAAGCACTAAGTTATCATGCGATTCATGCTATCAGAAACAGAACTTTTTCATGTTTTTCTGTTCCAAACTACCAATTTCACCCTTACAAAACAAATTAAGCAAATGGGAATAATTCAAATCTATTTGGTCATTAGACAATAGTTAAGAATTCATCAATCTCTTGATTTCTAATCATATTGAAAGATTGAGTTTCGAATCTCTTCTCCAAATGCAATAAGTCGTAATCACGATTGAACTCGTGCCCCTTTCACGAAAGGTGATTTGTAAGTTTTGACTTGGTCTCTCATTCAAGAATTACTTTTATTTTTCTTTTTTCCTTTTGGAGAAAGTCCTCCCAATTTGGTCAATATAAATTTTCGGAGAAAAACCACACTTCAGCCTTTATACTCCAGATCTATCTGACTCTGAAGTTTTGTTTTACTGATACTCTGTTTCCTAATAGGAAAGAGTAATAACAGAGTGCTTATGATTCACTTATGATTTGCCACAGCTGTTATAGGTTTGTAATACTTTTCCAGGTCCAAAAGTTTATTTGAGCTTACATGTCATTTTTCATTTTGTGCAGTGGCGTGGATATTTGGGTATTTACTAAATATACTTGTTTAAATTGATAACAATTAGGAGTAAACTACCCTTATTTTCAACATTATTAAAAAGTTCAGTCAGAAAAGTTGTTTGAATTTGAAAACAAGAATTAAATATGAAATCACACCCACCTACGTAACAAAAAAATCCATTTGTTATGGTTCTAGCCTCATAAAGAGTACTACTATCTAATCACTAGACGCTCTAGCTACTTGTCTGATAGATTGTCGATTATCCATTTGTACATGTCGTAAAACTGCAACTTCAACTTCGTTATTTCTGACATGTTTTTTGTTGTGAACAGAACCTGAAGTTCGAAACTCATCCATTAACTGTTTAACGTATTGATGGCTCACGTTGTGGTCTGGATGATTCGTATTATAAATTCTAGCTGCAGCTTTAGCACATTCATGAATTTGATAATAGGTTGCAACAATTTCTATTCTTTCTTCAGTAGAATAAATATGTTGGGACACAATGAACAAGAATGACTGAATAATAATTGGTGAAGAAGTGACGGTGGCCAAGTATCTACTTTTTGTTCTGTGACAACTAGAGTCAACAAAAACTACCAGTGCAGAAAAAACTAACAGTGTCGTCCATTTCAAAACGTTCACTACTAATTGAATTAATTCTACAAATCTAGGAGACCTGCGACAGAGAATTCTTCAAGAATGCCGATTTCTGACTCCGGACATCTCCAATAATGTGAGAAACGCTTTCAAAATTACACTGTATTATTTGTATGGAACTAGATGGTGGTCCTTTTGAACACTTTATTTGTTGATTATGTTGCCATTGATATTACTTTTGTTGATTTCCTCAATAAAATGAGCGACCGCGAATTTTCTGTTTTTCCTTAGATATAACCTTCAACATTCAATTTCTCAATAACGAATTAACAAATTTCTAAAAAAATATCAGAGGTAATAGAGCGGCAAAATACATTTCAGATGATTTATCACTCGACCCCCCATGCCATTGAAAAAATAGGGAGGTAGTTGATGACCACAGGGGGGTGAAGTTTCGGGTATGATTTTCATATCAGAATTAGTCTTCCTAGAACTAAAAATTGATGTTTTTTTTTCAAATTTTCGATTACACGTCCATTTCTGACTCACAGCGGGGGGCATGTTTTCGTTGTAACGCCCTGTATGTTAGGAATCAGATGAAAATCAATTCATCATTCATACCGATCTGAATGAAATTTTCCAATCAAACATAGGTTCATCCACAGCAAAAAAAATCTTAATTTTTTCCTATATACTCTTTCTAAACTGATATAGTGAAGTCATCAACAGTCTCTGAGTGTAATGTTACGAGAAATGAAATATTTTTGAAGAGGAAAAACAACATATTTTTTTCGAAATTGTTTTTTTTAATCTTAAAAACAAACCTGAGCTTTGATATTTCTCCTACCCATCCTCCTGGATATAACCTTAGGTTTGTGGCCATCTTCGCAAGCACTCGGGCTAGGACTTGGAGCCCGTTCGCATGTACTGTCACAACTACTCGACCTTCTCGATGATAATCTGCGGTGCGATCCGAAACGCTGCACCCGAAGCTGGTTTTCTGTGACAGGACGACAAAGAGTAGTCATAGACGAGTCTCTACCATTAGCTGAATAGTGAACAGCATACGACGGTTGGCAAGTTGGGGAAGTGGGAGTTATCTGAAATACGATTTAGAATGAGAATCGTACCTGATTGTGAAACGATTGAAGTTCTCACAAAAAGTATCTAGTACTACTTTTTGTTCTTCCGGTGCCGTGGCAGCAACAACTATGGCCATTAGCGTCGTGTTCTGTGTAGTCTATGTTAATATAAAAAATCATGGAATTTGACAATCCCCTCAAACATGTCGTAACGTAGCAAAATAAATTCATCTTCATCTAGATGAATTTACGAAAAAATTATTCTGGTTGAGATGAATTCGAACTTGAAACGGTCAAGGGGTACACTACCATTGCGCCAATTTTTCACTGAATACTTCTTGATATAGGAAGAACTGTTTATAAATGATACGTATGAGTAAATTATCATATAGTTTCAATTTACTTCATTTCCAAAAATTTATGTGCAAAACACCCCATATCACTGAACAAACAACAAACATGGAATTTGGTTTCTTATTTTACACTGACGAAAACAGAACATAAAAGATGATCATGTTCTGAGGATTAGTTGATTCTGAAACATAAAATGCTTTCATAACCAACACACTCCTATATACATACATATATATA